GGAGAAATAACTAAATATGCAATATGTATTAATAATTATGCACGTAGAAATTGGGTGTTGCACTGTTATGCTTGCACATTAGATGAATATATAATAAAACAAACTATGCATAAAAGAATAAGTAATTATGCATGATTATATCAATAAGTATGCACGTCATAATTGCTTATTCATTCATCCAGTTGTTCTGCATTACAAACATATATGCAATGTCGTATATCTAACTAAGCAACTTGTTGAACTAAGTATGCAAAAGTCTCATGATAAGAATGCACGTTATAATTGCAGTTGTTTTATATTATAACTGTATATGCACCGTTTTAATTATAAAATAGCAACATTGTTGAACTAAAATTGCAACAGTTATCAAAACTTGTTTTTCTTCTTATATTTTGAAGTAGGTACTACTCATGAGGAATCTCAGATTTAATTGGTGATATCGCCAAATTTAACAAAGTATTGGATGCCAATCGTCCAACAAGATATAAAGCCTAAAGTCGGAATGATGTTTTCAAACCTTGATATTGCAAAGGAATTCTACAGAAACTACGAAGCAAATGGTGGATTTGATGTGCGGACTACACAACAAAACGGTTTAGAAGTGGCGTGATAAATAAACAGTATATGGTTTGCAATAGAGAAGGATTTAAGCTAGAAAACCCACAAAATACTTCAAAGAGCATATCACAACTACATTCTGAGTCAGGTGTGGTTTCACGACACCGTGTGTTGAAAAGGGTTGGTTGCAAAGCTCGAGCAGTATTTGAGTATGATGGAAATGGGTACAAAATCGCCGAATTTGAAGAAAAACTTTGTCACGCCTTGTCATTGGAGACACAATATCTTAATGCAAACCGAAAATTGAATTGCGGACACCAGAAATTTATTCTTAATCGTGTGAGAGCAAACATTGGCACAGCTAAAAGCCATAGATTGTACAAGGAGATGCTTGGGGAAGATGCTAACGTTGGTGCTCTCAAAATGGATTTCAAGAACTACAAGAGACAACTTATGACTTACATGTCAGGAGCAGATGCACAACTCATCGTTCAAAAATTCCACCACAAACAAGAAGTATGCCCAGACATGTCATTTGAGTACACAGTTGATGGAAATAACAAATTAAGCAAGATATTCTGGGCAGATCCAATTTCAAGAAAAAATTACCTGCTGTTTGGAGATTTCGTCTCATTTGATGCAACCTACGACACTAACAGGTACCTCAACTCTTATTGGTGACTACTGCATATAAAAAAAATATATCTTATTGTTAAAGTTGTGATAATACATTTGCAATATGTTCAAATTGTTATGATATCTCTTATTGTTATAGTTGTGAGTGTAATGGATTAAATATGCAGCATGGTTGAACTAAATATGCATTTGTTTATAACTTAGAATGCATCAATGTATATATAGAAATAAGTATAGAGATTTTATTTTGACACAGAATAGACTGTATGACTGGACAATTAAGTATGCATGTTTTTATAACTAATAGGCAACTAGTGTAAATTTATATATTGTCATAACTAACTAATTTTTATTTTATATAGGTACAAGATGGTGTTTGTACCATTTACTGGAATAGACAACCATAAAAAGTGTGTAACATGTGCAGTTGGATTGATTGTTAAAGAGGATGAAGAATCCTATATTTGGTTGTTGGAAAATTTCTTGAAGGCTA